AGCAACAGTACGGGATCAATCAGGAGGATACACCATTCATAGGCCTAGTGAATAAGATCGCCTACAAAATTTCAGGACGGACTTAGAAAGACTTCCAACCAGGCAACCCCTCATTGTGCCCTAACAACACCAACATAATGCCCCATCCAGCACACCCCTTCCCCCTCTAAACCTCACCTCCCCCTCATCGGCTCTCCTTCTTCGGATCCTCGCAACACGACMTCATGYTGGATAAACTTCACCATRTCTATGAAWGGTCGAACGATGAAGATACTCGGACCGCAGCAGAACAAACCTTCTCCAGTTGGTCATGCCGCGTTGTGAGACTAAACAATTGAGCCCGCCAATAGTCGCTCACAGGTAGTCTCAAGAATATCAGGGACGCACAAATTATGCCACCTGTCGCAGAGCACTTAGATACGTCAACCCATTCTGAGGGAATCACCTAGGTCAGATCCACCCCAATCCGTCGCGTGGTCCCTTGAAACGCTTTTTTGCAAACACTGAGCTGAGCAGCCGACTTCAAAGATCACACGGAGAAGAGAAGATGGCCCCTGCTAACAACGTGAGCACTGCAACCCCTCCCATAAAACGCCCGCCTTAGTAAGTTTGATATTCGGCATGGCTTCCATCACATTCTGGTCAAGGAGGAAGATAGGCCGAAGACGGCCTTCGTGCTGTTTGAGGGCACATGGCAGTGGGTTCGGTGTCCGATGGGGATTTGCAACGCGCCTGCCACGTTTCAGCGGGCGATGAACATGACATTCCCAAACTTCGTCAACAAGATGCGGCTAACTCAGGGACTGATCAAGTTCTGCGTGATCGTATACATGGATGACACCCGTATCTACTCGGAGACCTATCACGGGCATGCACAACACATTGAGTGGACGCTGGGAGCACTGAGGGACGCTGGACTCAAGATCGCACTCGAAAAGAGCGAATTTTTCCTTTCGGAAATTTCGTTCTTGGGCTATGTCGTGACGCGTGGAGGACTGCAGCCTGACTCAAGAAAGGTCGCGGCGGTAAGAGAAGCTCCGGTTCCCACGTCGCTGACGCAGGTTCGAGCCTTCTTGGGATTAGCATCGTACTATCGCTGTTTCATCAAGGGCTTCATAGCGATTGCACGACCGCTAACGAACCTGTTACAGAAGGACCAGCCCCTCAGTTGGGACGCGGAGTCACCGGAGTGTGAACAGGCCTTCAAGACCCTCAAGGATGCTCTGGCGACAACACCTATTTTGATCCGGCCGGACCCCTCGAAACAATTTATTCTTATCACGGACTGGCAACCGGAAGCTATCTCCGCTATTCTAGCGCAGAAGGGGAGCGATGGTCGCGAACATGTCATCGAGTACGCATCACGAACGGTGCCAGACGAATGGAGGAACGACTCAGCACCCCAAGGCGAATGCTATGCAGTAGTCTGGGGAATCGAGCACTTCCATCCGTATCTCTATGGACAGAAGTTCCGCCTTGTGACGGATCACGAACCCTTGCTGGCCTTGAAGAAGCTCACTAATCACACGGGTATGATTGGACGTTGGGCGGTACGACTACAGGAATACGACTTCGACATCATCCACCTGGAAGACAGAAAGGCACGGTAATGCGGACGGACTGACACGTTTGCATCGGCCCGCTAAAGTACCGAGGGGCGAGGAAATCACTTCGTGGAAGGAGTCGGAACCAGCAAACGGGCCTAAGTACGGACAAGTGGCAGTTCTCCCACGTGGCAAGAGGCAGACCGGTGGCAATGGATGACGGAGGTAACCTCACTACCCCACTTTCTCCTATCTTCTCTTCGTCTTATCTCTCCTTGCCTGATAAAGTTTGCTATTTTTGCGAAGCAATTTCTCGCGTATACTCTGTCTCCATGCGTCCTAATGGGGAGGGGTATGCGAATGGATAGGCTGCCGACAGTGTGTCGCACGAGCTTATGGCTCGTGCATTCAATACCGAAATGATAGTAAGCCGTGGTTATGCCCCTTGTGTCGGGTTGACAAAATCCCGCCCGAAGCTCGCTTTTTGGATGCCACGTCAGAAGGGTTGGAAAAGACCCAGAAGTTTCGAAGGGCCGAAGTATTGATCGACATCACCTTGATTGCGACCTTAGTGAGTAACCCCCTCCAGGATTTCACCAAGGAAGATCGGAGGAGGACTAACGAAAGGGCTCGGGATTATCGATGGATAAAGAGTAGGTTAGAAAAACGAAAAAAGGACGGGAGTGGGATTTGGATGGTTGTACCGCATCCGTTCATGAGGTACGACTGGGTAAAGACAGCACATGAAGAAACGACAACCCACTTTGCTGTACGGATTACCGAATCAGCAATCGATAAAAACGAGTGGTATTAGTCCAATATTCGGGACGATGTGAAATTCATCGTCGCAAACTGTCAAGTCTGCGCTGATGACAAGGCGCCGATCCAGCCGCCAAGATCGATAGTTCCAACGGTGGTTGAACGATCGTTCCAAAGAGTGAGTATGGATACTACCGATATCACGGTACCCCCTGGTCCTAATAGTTGCGAATATTCAGTCCTATTGGTATTCCTCGACCATTTTTCAAAATGGATCGAGGCCTACCCTTGTCGTACGCAACAAGCCGCCGAAATCGTACGGTATGTTAACCGTTTTCTCGGGATGCACCAGGATATGGAGAAAATCCTGACCGATAATGGGGCAGGATTCAGACGGGAAGTATTAAGGAACCTGGTCATACATGGTGTCGCTGTACGGAACACCTCGCCCCACATGTCACAATCTAATGGACTGGTAGAAAACGCCAATAGGGTGATAAAGACGGCACTGCGACGCAACATCGCGGCACGGGATCCAAGGCCCTGGCCCGATATCGTCGACCACATCTTAGCGGTCCATCGCAGAACGCCCCACGAATCGATGGGCTTGAGCCCCTTTCAATTAAGGACTAATAGTGTCGCTTGCGTTTCGATACCAAGCCTCCCCGACGAATCAACGCTTAATCGCCGGCCCACAAGGGCCACCGCGCGGAACAAGGCCAAGCGTCACCTAGAGTTAATGGAACCGTCCCTCCCCAGGCTAGCCCGAAAACGCCAGAAAATGACCAAGTTGGCCCATGGTCGACAGGTCCGAAGCTACGAGGCCCGGAACGGGAACGCACGTCCACAGCCCCAGTACAAATTGGGGGACATTGTGCAGGTAAGGAAATGTGCTCGCCAGGGTAAGCTAGCGCCACGATTCTTCGGGCGATTTCACATGATTGAGCTTGGACCGAACGACGTAAACACCGTGCGGCTTGCGCCTGAAGTCTCCGGCAGCCGATCGGCTCGTCCGATCATCCGCCACGTGTCTTACCTCCGTCCCCTTCCGCCTTCCCCATCTTCGCATTCATTTGAATCCTCCTCCGCTGCGGAAGAGGACGACGACTGCTTATCGCCTGCCTCTCTGTCTCCTTCTTGTTCTCTCTCTCTCGCTCCATCGCCATCGCCATGAGTTTTCTTACAGAGCGAGCCCTCGGCAATTCTCTGTTGGTGCCACGGTGTCACATCTCGGCGATTCGACAAGTTCATCATACGCGGCTCAATCCAGATCTTCGCCGACTTGCGTAGTTTTCCTGTACCCAGGGAGTGTACGCGGCTGCTCAGTTTCGCTTTGCAGGAAGTCCCCAGGCGGTTGTTCTTGCAGAGGCGGTGGGAGTTCATCGGCGATTGGCCCCAGGAGTCAGCCACGTGTCTACGGTGGTCGCCTTCAGCGACAACATCAGCACCATCAATCCGTTGCGGCATACAGCTATCAAGACGACGCTCTGGCTGTGGGCACAGCAGTTGGTGGCAGAGTGGAATCAGTCGCTCACACCCCACGGAGATAACCTTTTTTCCACGGACGGTGTCGATTTCGACGGGATCCGAACCTTCCAGCACGAGCCTGCAGTGGTGCTCCCGAAACTCGTTCCCTTCCCCCGTCCTCAATGAACCCATCCTCGATCTCCACTTTCTACCTCCCCTCCTTCTTCCCCACTTTCTGGCAATCCGGAGTCCACCCGCATCTTTCCTTTCATCTGGAATCACTTGTTGTCCCCCTCCTTGATCCCTTGCAGTGGAGGCGTTGGCGAGAGCACTTCATTGAGTTGTAGGTGTGTCTGGTCGGTGTAAGGGTCATGTGGACGTGGCACGAGGATCACCGCCAGTGGGCCGAGTACCTCAAACTGCTTATCATCCAGGCGTGGCGAACGGAAGTGGAGGGCGATCTACTCAGGTTCCTCTTCGGATTGGTGCGGCCCGATCACCGCCAACCAATCGTGCACGAGTTAACGGTCCCCCTTGCGCAACTGGCCGGCGATCTCCCACTCGAGATTGTCTCGCAGAGCGACGACAGCCCGGTTCCGCACGTTCTCACACGAACCTTGGCACCATATCTTCAGTGGCCAGCGTGCTTGGAGGAACCAGTGACCCGCCGTAACCCGCCGTCACAGCGCGATAAGTTGAACCCGCACGAGATAGTCGATCTCGCCTTCTTCCAAGATCGGACGGCTTCCGAGAACGAGGACGTAGAGATTGAAGCGGAGGAAGAAGAAGAGGTCGAAGAAGAAGCCGACGGGGAAGAAAGTCCCGAAGAAGGGAGTTACAGTGAGCACAGCGAAGGAGAGCAAAGTGAGGAGGAGGAGGAGGAGGAACAAGACGACGAAGAAGAAGAAGAAGACCATGAGGAAGAAGAGGAGTCGGAGTACGAAGGATTTGAGGAAGAAGTGTGTGACGAGGCTCGGGCGCAGGCCCAGGCGCAAAAGAGAGAGGAGATCGCGGCCGGGAAGCAACAGTAGGAATTCGACAGTGCAGCCGGTCAGCCGCGCACCGACGATCCGGCCCGAGATCCAGAGCCGCCTAAGCCCGAGGATGGAGAGATAGCTGGCGAGACTTCGGCCGCACCAGCGAGACGGCGACGAAGACGATCCCCCTCCCCCTCCGCCTCTGACCGCCCATTAACTCGTCCACGTACCGAAGCGGGGTATCGGGCTTCGTCCCCGGTCCTTATCCCGCCGTCCCCTTGATCACCTCTCCTTTCGTCAGATCACCACCTGCGTCACCTTCCCCGCCAATCCCTTCCCCACCGATACTTTCCGCTTCTTCTACACTACCCGCCTCGCTGTCATTGTTCATCCCCATCCTTCCACCCGATGCGTCCTCCCTGTCTTCTGCCTCCATATCCTTTTCCTTAGTGCCGCGTGGTGAGGCCACAATATGATCGAGGTATATTGCATGATTACGAGGACTATCCCCGCATGCGAGAACCACGATTACTTCCGCGCGGCCCTTTTCCGAACCTTCACCACCCTCTATCCCGATTACCTTGCATCCCTCCCCCACACAGGCAACCGATTCCCTCGCTTCCACCGGATCATTCGCTATTAGGAACTTCCAGAGACGGTGGCGGGAGTGGAATTTCAAAGCTTCCTTCCCCCGCTACCCAACAACACTCCCCCTCGCCAGCCCTCCATGTACCATCTCCCCTTTCACCTCCCCGGCGTTCGCTGATGCATAACTAAGGGACACGTGTCATGATGGCAACATGTGTAATCCCCTCCTTGGATTGTCAAAGGCCCTCCCTAAGGAATTAGTAGTAGAGCAGTACTGCCACGTTGGACGACGTCCACATGCATTCGAACGGTAAGTGGCATGGAAGAACTTCGCGTGTCGATCGATTAGAGAAATTGACACGTGTCAACAAGCAAGCAGGAGCTTGCTAATATTGGAACCCCCTGGGCGTCACATACGTGACGAACCACTTTCTGTAGTGCGCGACTTTCTACGTAGCTACGATGAGGGGTCCTAAGCAGGGAAGGTTGGGCCAATTACGGGAGAGTGGGATGGATGGGAAATTGCATCGGTGCCCTCGTTTCTTCGCCTTTTGCGTCGGTTCTTTTCGGTTGGCTGAGTTCGGTGCTGGGTGAGTCACGGGACGGGTCATTGATTGGTCGGATGGCTGGCGCGCCGCCGAGCGTACGACTAATAAATGTTGACGACAACTCTTTTGGCTCGGTTTCATAACATTTTGGGCGAGGACATCGCGCGGGAATCCGCTTCGTTCTTTTTGAATTTTCTTTTTGCATTCTTTTTCGAATTTTGTCGAGCCCCGATGGCTCTCGGAATTTCGGACTTTCTATCCGGAACTGGTGCTTCTTTGGCTTCTTTCGCATTAGGTAGGGGTTTAGGAATTTTGTAATTAGGATTTTCTTTCCCCGCGTGGCGGTTTTTGTTTACTCGTTCCTTTATGCAGCTGCAACAGAATTCTGATTAGTCGGCCCCTTTAATCGGACGTGTAACTGTAATTTTGGGTTGGCGCCATTGTAACTGTATCTCTCTTCTTGCACTTCGTCCTTCCCGCCCTCCTTTTCTTTCTTTTGCTGCGTTTTGGTAGCCACGGTCTGCATGCTCGGATTGATGCGTGGAGAGAGGCTACGTCCTCCACGCCGTGGCCTGGTCATGCAGAACGTAGGCACTCCCTCTCTAATCTCCCTCTAAGTCCTGGTAATTCCGTGTTCTTCGCGCATGCATACACACTATAAATTTCGGTTGCGCGATTAGTTAGCTCTCTTAATGAGTTGTTGGAAGCTCGGGGTTGCGCGATCAGCGAGGGTCGGCACACGAGCGAAGTAAGAGGTGAGTAGAGCAGGAGTCGGGCGACCCGACGAGCTGGTGCCAATCGCGCGGGGTTGACGTGGGCCACGATGGACTGTGGGCGCAGGCGAACCTGACGGGTGCGGCATGACTAAGCGGGGTGACGGCTTCATGGGTTGGTGCACGACGACGGACTACCCGCATTGGAGAAGAAGAGAGAGGAAGGGAGAGTTGAGGTCGATGGACGTGGAGTTGCTGTTTCTTTTATCTTTTCTCCCTCCTGTCTCGTGTATATAAATTTTGATTTCGGCTCTGGGCGATCTGCCCGATTTCTGTTTATCGGAATTTGGACTTGGGTTTTTGCTCACATTTACATCCGCGATTTTTCCACCTCTGATGTGTTATGTGTATGATTACTGAATGAATGGATGTATGGATGCCATGTTTGATTGCTTATCTTTTTGCTGGAATCCTTGTCTTTGCTTTTGTTTGTCGCATTTGATGCACTCGTGTGTAGAGTAGAAATTTTGCGCAATCGATAATCCTGTCCTTGTCTGCGCGTGTCTTTTGATCGAGCTGATTGTGGTCGTTGCATCTTGCATATTCAGAACAGCACAGAGTGATTAGACGACTGGATGCCGGGCTTGACGAACGCCGCGCGAGGACACGTGTAACACGCGATCTAAGTTGCGCGCTTACACGTATCCCCGGGCGTCGACTCGTCAAATCCCAAAAGGACCATCGATCACATACGCACTGTCCGATTGGACGTGGCCATCCCGGGGTCCACGATCGTGCAGTCGTCCCGCACGAACACGAGTAGGCCCGACGTAATCCATGCGACCTGCACGTGCTCGTACGTGGTGATCGCGATCGCCGCAACCCCGCCCTTAGGCGACCCATAACTCCGCAATGACACAATGATGCGATCCTGGAATTCCGACTCATCCTACGACCCGGATTACTTCACCCCTTGGATAAACGAACTTCTGAGACAGAGATACCCTTGCCTAACCGAGAAACGACTGTGTCCCCGGGAGTTTCACTGCGCCACCACTAGCGACCCCCGGTGCTCTGATTTCCCCTCTCCGGACCACACCTACTACTTCACCCACCCCGGATTTGTCGTTGTCTCCACCATCTTTCCACCCTTCCGCCTTCTTCTTCCATATCATCAACTCAGCGTCGTCTCGTGGCCGGCCATAGCCCGATACTGGCCTACTACGCCCTGCAAAAACTGTCAGCGACGAGGCGAGCGGAGAACCCCGGAATCCTGAAGGCCCAACCCGAACGCGCAACGACCGACGCCACGCGGCAACTCTCGACGGCCTGACTCATCGGCACCCCACCTGTCCCAGAGGGACCTGCCCGTAAACTTCCGTCCTCGAAACCAGTGGCTCGCCCGACCTTAGGAATTCATCCAGTCTGGGACCAGAGGCGACCCGCCCCCTTCGCCAATTGTACCCGTGCACCCGAAAGACCCTGCCACAGGAGATCTAAGTTCTGACCAGGGACTCTACTTTCCCAAAAATCCTTGGCACACCCCTTTTCGCACTTCTAGGCCCACATCCTACTTCGATCAGGAAGTCGCGCTGGGCGTGAGGTTTGGGCGTTACAGCATTATATTTGGGGGAAGGTGGTACACCGAGGCCGGACTGGGAGGGGACGACTGCCATGTTAGGAATGTAGGCAACAAGGGGCGCTGCAGATACCTGGAATTGTCCTTGGACTGAATTATAGGAGGACATAGTTCGCAATTAGGGCCTCTTTCCACACCACTTGAGTTCAAGAGAGAAACGAAAAATCATCGTTCCACCCACCTCCCCCCCTTAGAGGGATCCGCTTTATTTTCACTTTTTTGCATGCCCAGGGTGTGCCCTTGGAACTCAAGGGCAACACAACCGAAATGGCCCTTGAATTCAAGTCACCTCCTGGAGGTACCTTGAGTTCAAGTGTCAGCGGATAACGTCAGCACGCCAAGTGGGGCTTATTTTTTCTTTTACTTCTTTTTTAGCAGGCGATCCGGGTCCAGGATTGGTCAAGCCCTGGAGTTCCATCTCAAGTGCAGTCTGTTCAAGGGTTTCCTCAAGTGTACATGGAACCATAAATCAAGTAAGTRTAAATTAATCACAATTTCTCATTTAGTGTGCACTTCAAGTATTTTCAAGTGGCATGGAACGAGGACCTTCATTCCCCAACCCCGTGCTATCTTTCGTACCCCCTTGACCCAATACCCCTTTGTGTATCATACCGACCCCATAGAGCCCTCGTCGCTTTTCTTGATTTCAGGCGCCTTGTTTGGGCCCCCATTTTTCGGAAGCTCTATGGATTCTTGGAATTCTGCTTTTTGTAATTCGAAAAATGCACGTGAAATTTTGCGCCCCTTAGCAAGCCCAATGGGAATCGGGCTCGACAGTTAGGAATTACGGAATACGCGGATCCCGACGTATTTTTTTCCTTGCGTAAATGTTCTCGGTCACGTCGGAGAAAACTCTAGGAATTTTGTGAGAATACGGATAGGCGTAGGACTTTCTTTTCCCACGTCGACTTTTGCGCGCGGATATGGTGATTTCAATTTTTGAATTGGTGTAGGATATAGGCAAGCTATAACTGTTTCGGTGCCTTTTTCTTTTGCTGTCGGCACCCCGCATGCAAGCATCCTCCTCCTTATTTTCCCGCGCCATCCTTCCCCCGCACTCTCTCTTCTCCCTTCCCCCTCTTCTCCTTCTCCCATCGCAACTGTTTTTCCCTCTCTGCTTTTTGCGCGCCTGCTTCCCTTTCTTGATCATCTGAATCTTGGACCCGTCTCGCGCTGCGTTTCTCGCCTCGTCTCTTCTCGCTCATCAACCTTGGCTCACGAAGCCCGGTTGATCCTCCAATCACCCTGGCTCACCAATCAGACGCGTTGAGTAAGAGGATCTTCCTATTGCGCGACGAATCTGATTGGCCGACCACTGGGTCCTAAAGGATCACCATGGCTCCCCCTGAGCACCCTTTGCTGAACCCTTTCTCCTTACACCCTGATCTCCCCTCTGACTCTTCCCCCATCTATGTCCTTTCTCGCAACTATAAATTCCGCAAACGCACCCGCAAAACTCTCTTACGTTTTCCACTCGCAAACCAGCTTCCGGGAAGCAGTTGCTAGGTGATGCGTTTGGTGCGAGTCGGAAAGTCCTTTCGGGCTGACAATAGTCTGGCCAGTTGCATGCTTGATCGCCACGACGGACTGTGGGATCAGGGCGAG